TTTAGGGTCAGTACCAAGTCAATTAAGAGCAGATGGAGGCAGTGGCAGCCAGTGGCTCCATTCAGGAGGGAACAAGCTGGAGGGCAGAATGTGGAGCAGTTCAGGAAAGGAGAGATTTTCCACAGCAGGGGAGGAGTTAGGAGGATGCAACAGGGACTGTGCAGATGCCAGAGAAGTAGAAAGGGTCAAAGAGAGATCAGGAGAGCCTTGGAAAAATCTCAGCTATTCACATACTGGCTTCAGTTTACTTTCATTCCTCTTTTCACAAAAATCTCCAAGGCTTCTTCCTTTTCACTTTCCCTTTCTATCCCTTAATATTTGTATTTGCCTCTGAATCAGATTCCTTCTAAGGGAAAATAGGTAATATATACTTCCAAACAGCTTTTTTATTGGAAAGGTGCTCCCTTTTGGCTGATGCCCTCTCTGCCTCTCTCAAGCTTTTGTCCTTATGGCACTGTGGGCGTGAACATTAGTTGCAATCTGAGTGCAGCATAATGCAGGGAAATAATTAACGAATCAGTCATCCAACCAAATGCTTATATTTGCATTTGCCATTGATATATAGAGAGAAAAAGTGCTGGTGGAAGTATTTTTCAAATTTTATTGCAGGCACAGATGATACCCTGAGAGAGGGAAAGGAGGTCTGAGCCTAGGCCCAGAGTGATCACAGTTGTATTTGAAGTACTGTGAAATGTTCAGGGCTTTGTGATTCTCATTGTCGCTGAGAGTGACAATGAGAAGTTACTAAGAGTGCTTGCTGAGGTCCCAGGCAGGACATAGAGAATTACACCACGGTATCATGGGACTCAAGATTTTCTGTGCAAGTGTTAGAAACAAGCAACATCTTCTGCTTGGCTGCTTAATTCACTGGTTAGATGAAAACTTAACTGGCACATTAATATCTTAGCACTTATTAAATGGACACCTCAAATTGATAACCATGAGTAATAGTTTATCTTTTTACACCTCTCCCTGGCACTCCCATCATCATTCCCAGCAAATTTTCAGGAGTATTACTGTATTAAATCATATATATATATATATATATATATATATATATATAAGAAGCCCTATTCTACATGAGGTTTTTTTGCATCCTGCTCTGTGCAACCTGCTCCACTCCAGAGTGCCTCCATTTCAGTTATGTGATAGCTAAAGTATGTAAAGTTTCTAACTCTACTTTAATCTGTTTTATTGCCTTTCCATACACTTGATGCCTTTTCATTTTCTAGTAGTTGAAATACTAGGATACAATCAAGAAGTGGTAAATAAGCACTCATGTCATCAAATGACAAATGAAAAGGCATACTGTAGAAAAGAAATGTTGATTTTAGTTGTCCTGAGAATTAGAAAAGATAAACACTGACTGGTGAAGATATGAAATAGAAAAAAGACTCATGAAGATGAAAAAGAGATATTATCTCTGTGATCATGTCACCTCTTTGCAGTACAATATTGTGCTCTCCTGAGGATGCAATTTAAGCTGGTAGTTCATCACAGAAGCCCTTTACAGTCTTTTCTTAGGCAGGCAGTTGACTTAGGCAGCAGTTGCACTCCTCAGTGCAGTTGACTTATAGTAAACCTTTGTTGTGAGTACAAAAATACCAGGATTGAAGTCAAGTGCTCTTCAATTAAAGACCTATTTAGGTGGGAGCAAGTAGAAATTCTGGCAGTCATTTGAGCAGTGCTGTCAAAATTGAACTGCTTTGCAAAACTACATCCATCTTGGTTTTGAACTTCATTAAAAAACAGAACTAATACTGAGAGAGAGAAGAGGTGTATCTATGGAAAGGAGAAGGGTTTTAAAAATACCAGAATTATGTATTCTGTCATCATTCGAAGTGTTCTAAGTCCTCATTTTGAAATGAGGTTTTTGTTTCCATCTTTAACTTGGAAAATATAGAAAATGTCTAAAAGTTGAAATCAAATTAAATACCTAAAAAAATAATCTTGATTATTTTTCTTAATGAAAAATTTCAACATCAAATCTAAAATTATCACAATCATCTGTGAAATTTGGGCTTTCATCCTTCTCATGGCCCTACTGAGGAGGTACACCCTCAAGTATATGGATTAAAATAATTTTGCAATTGGTGGATTAAAATGTAAACCTGGACAGATATGTTTGCTACAGCACCATCATCACTTGAAAAGCAAACTTCTGTTGCTGCAGGATTTGATCCATCTAGCAAGAGAGAGAGAAAAAAATGTTCTGAACTTGCAGATGTTTTTCCTGGAGGAGTAATGACTCTTATGTAAATAATCACTTTATTCTGCAAGTGCATACAATTTCATTCCACAAATTGATTTCACCTCTTCTGCCCTTTTCTCTGGTGCGAGCCTCTGCTAGATCTAGCAAGCCTTATTATTCTGTTTTTAAATATCAAAGCTATAAATATCCAAGTCAGAGCTGTGTAGGAACATCGTTTTTAAGTAACATCTTGAAATCTCCAAGTTGGTGTCAAATACAAATCTTGCCTAACGCTGTGAATGACAGATGTATGTTATTGCTAATATGGAAGAAATGCAGCTTTTTAGCATCATCTTCTGTGGGCAGGTAATGAGAGAGGAAAAACTAAACATACTATAAACATCAGAAGTGATGAAATAGTCTGGTAAATAAATTCTTTTGCTGCAATACAACTGTTTTCCAGTTAAGCATCAAACATGCAGTGTGTGGTTGTTTGCTCAACCTCTGTACATGGTAAAACCATATTTACAGTGCTGAGCAGCTCTGGCACTAAAATTCATCATCAGTGAGCAAAGCAGGGGAATACTTAACATGGCATGCCCAGTCCCATCAATGTCACCTCACAGAAAACTCAGAAATTACAGTAATGGAAAGAGGAGCAGAATTATCCCCTAAATTTTGTGTGCTCATAAACTTGCACTGTCAGTTTTCAGCTACCCTGTGTTATGAGCTGCAGTTGATTTTTTTCCTCTTTTCCTTGTCTTTCATGATGCATGTGCATGTCTCATAAATATGATTTATCATTTCTCTTTTTAAGCTAAAATGGTTGGAGGAAGAGTATGGCATTCATTCCTTAGGGAGGATAACTTGCCTGAGGAAAGTTTGTTTTAGGCAGTTAGTGAGTAGCTCTTATTCTTAGAACTTGGAGATATCTATTTCTCAGATAATTATATCTTGAGAGTATATTGTGATGTGTTTCAGCTGTGAGTATGAATTACAATTTTCTAGCCCGTTTTTTCAGGAATACTTTGTCAGTGAATTTCACAGGTTAATTGCACATTGTTTAACAAAGTGCCACTTTTCATTGTTTCATTGTTCCTCAGAATGCATTCATTTTCATAGTATCTGCTTGTAAGGTAGGCATCTATTATATCAACTTTGTTTTCAGCTCCCAAAGTAGCAAAATTTCCTTACCTTCTAAGTGGAAATCTTCCACTGAGTTCCTCTAAGGATTACTGCTTTTTACTAGGTGGTGTTTTTTTGTATGTTCACTACTGCTTATGGAAAAAATGTTAAGTGTGGCAGTTAAACCCAGAGCTCAGTGTGAAGCTGGTTATTAATGCAGGGATTGCCACTGGGGATGAGCCCTGTTCCTGTTGAGCCCAACTTTACCTCTCTGATAGATGCCCCTGGTAAGTATTTCAGAGGAAAGTGCAGCGCAGCCCTCAGTAAGGAAATAATGAACCTAACACATAAAGTCTTTTGAGCTGTGCCATGAAAAATGAAAGTCTGTATGTTTACTTATTATCCTCAGACTAAAGCAGCTCTTGTGGGTTTTTGTTGTTAAGTAGAACTGTTTGATCCTTTCTGATATTCTGCTCTTCTCATAGTCTCAATGATATAACAATGAGTTTCACCTCAGGTTAATCAAGTTCTCTAGAAGAAGATGTTTTCCTTTATTGATTTTATATGTGTTATCTCTTCAATTTCATTCAGTGTCCACAAGAGTAGTTTTATTTCCCTTTTTCTATCATTCATTATTTTCTAAGCCTCTGCAATGTCTTCCCTTCTTCATCTCCTGTCTAAAGCAAACAATGCCAAATATCTTAGCTGCTTCTACTTGATTTATAAGCTTTTAAGTATTTTTATTTCATTTTTGTACCTGTCCTAATTTTGAAATGTACTTCTTAAAGATTAGAATTTGAGGCATAAGTCTCATCTGTAGGTTGGAAATTGGATATTACTTGTATAATTCTGATTCTTTTGACTATTTTTGTTTTTCGTTTCCTTTTTTTCTGGTGATCCCATACATACTGGAACAATTTCAGGGGAACTTTCACCACTAGGCAGATTCTCACAACACCTCCCACAACTACATCTTCAATTACCTGGGCATAGTAGAAGTGCTTCAGATGACATTTGCCACTGTGCTTTATTATTCCAATGAAAGGGCAAACTGTATGTTTTCAGAGCATTTTAGTGGGGTTTATTTTGAGCTTTTTACATTATCAAGGACATGTATTTGCCAAATACAGGTGAAAGACAGGCACCTGGAGTGGCTTATTCAGTAGTGGTCTGCTCATTGTGAAACTCAATTGTCTGAAGTGAAGGCCATGTTTCTTCCTGAAGAGAGGTTTAAATAATTGCAGTTATAGTTGTATGGTTTAAGCTATTAAATAGCAATTTTTTGAGAAGTTATCTTTAGATGCTTCGGCACCAAAGTTTAGCCTCTGCATTTTAAAACACCTTTAAGTCTCTTTTTCCAGAGTGCTGCGCAAACTTGAATTTATCTAGTTGTGGCTGACTTTTGTCTATGAAAATGCAGTTTGCCGAAAGTGTTGGGAAACAGATGATCTCCCAAGTCATAGGTTGCTTCCATAATTGGTGGATTTTCATAATTCAGAGAAACTTTCTCAAACTTTTTCTCTCATTTAATACCTTTGTAAATGAGGATGTAGGACAGAAAACGTCTAGGCTATGCTTAACTTTCAATCCTGATGTAGCAGCTTTTTGGCATGAAATTAGAGCTGAAACATGGGAGTGCTGATTGCACATATCTTTTATTTTCTCTTTTTTGTTTTATCCCCAGGTCTAAACGTCCAGTGCCAGTTTCAACGACTGCTCCCAGAATTGACTCTCCCAGGGCTGTAATTCCCCATCAGAAGGTAAGTGACACATTTCCCCTCACCCAGAGTGAATACCATGTCTATCTGCTGCAGTGAAAGTAAATACTTATTACAGGAAATAGCTTTTGCCTGCCCCAAATAGTTAAAGGTTGAATGAATGCACAGGCAGCAAACTGCTGCAAGGCAATGTATTAGTGAACTGTATTTTGCTAATTTCTGATTATCAGAACCAAAGCATCTAGCTATCCTCTAATGTGATTTGGTCTGACCAATTCTGAGCAACTGTTTTCATCTTAGCTACAAGAAGCCACTAAAGCTTCTCAAAAATCTACATTTGCTTTTGTAGATTTTTGGGGAAACCTTTAGACTGTACCTCAATCTATCCAAATCCTGGCTGCAACTGAAATTACACTGATTTGCAAAGAGGACATGAGGGTATTTGAAAGCTTGCATCATATAGTGTTCTTATCATAGTATTCAGAAGACCTGAGAATAAAAAATAAAGAGGGTAAGTCAATTTAATGAATAACAGCAAGTGGCAGAGGAAATGAATGGCTTGGTTGCCATTGTGAAAGCACATCATCTTTCATAAAATAAATGTTCATTTTAGAATAAACACTGAGTATACCTGGCAACTCATCTTCTGTATCTTTGGAGACACCGAGGAGCAGGGGTACCTGAAAGATGGTGTATATATCCCTAGGCTCAGGCTCTGGGTAGGACATTTGTATTGCTGATGTATTTGATTAGATAAATAGACTGGAGCTAAAGTTTCCATTGCTGCAACTTATCCCTGCTGTCTGTGCCAGTTTCATTCCTAGCATGCATATAAATAAAAAACACTGAAGATCAAAATACATGGGGAATTAGATGATTTTCTACTGGTTTGGCAGTTCCAACTTCCATAGATTAATTTTAAGTAATTTTTATAAACGCTATGCTTTCCAAATTCAGAGCACAGATGGTAACATCATCCCTGAAACTGCTGCAAATAGGTTCAAAACAGCAGAAGAGAATGCAGCTGGGGGGAATAATTTGATTCAACTTTATTTTGTGGAATTTTAAATTAACCTGACTGGCCATTTATTATTTGATGCAGAAATTGTTTTTTCAGAGTGGATCTTGTAAACTTTTTTGGCAAGGGAAGACAAAATTAAGAATTTATCTTGCTCAGAGTTGTTTCTGTTTACATCATGATTTTATACAAGTTATTTTGGAGAAACTTACTGGAATAGTCACCAAACAGTACTTTTAAATTCCTAGAACAAAAGCAGTGGATCATTCTTTTGGTTACATTGGTGTTTAACTGCACCAGCAGAGTAATAGGGACAGGAAGGGGAAGGAGTTCTCATTTTCCCTGAAGGCCCACCCAGAATGCTGTCAGTGTTCAAGGCAGTGAGTAGATGTGTCTCATCAGTTACTCACCAACACGAGATTGACGCCTACCTTTTGGGGCTCTGTGGCACCTGCACAGGTATGAAAATTTTGTCTCCTTCCTCCATAGGCACATAAAACTCTTATATATTGGATTTTCATTACTCTTTTAGATGCATTTTAGGTGTATTTCTTCCTTGGCAAGTGTCAATTTTAAAATTGCTGCCATAGGTTTTCAAAGCTACCACAGAAAATATTTTCCTCCCTTAACTATCTACTGTATAGAAAAGTTAACTTTGCACACAAAAGGGGTTTCTTGAAGGTCCTAAAAGACCCCTTGGTATGAAAGCCATAAAGACACTTAATATTTCATATTCTAACCCTTCAGTGACAGATGAGGATCAAAAGACTCAACCCATTTTCAAAACCTTGTTGTCTTACATTTGAGAATTCTGTGCAAGGTGCTCAGGAAAGGTTGTAGGAGCTGCTGGAGGCAGCCTTTTCTGAGCCAGCTGCAGGCAGTACCAGCAGCTGGAAAAGAAAATTAGTGGAACCTTTCTAGAGAAAAGGGTGACATCCAGGGGAAGGTATGCTGGGAAGCAGCCTATCTTGAAGTATTCAGGAAGCTCTTAGGTGTAGGGTCTTTCACCCAGGGGAAGAGGTAACATTAGAGTGCTGGACCCTTTGAAGGTCAAGAGGAGTTACACTTGTGTCACTTGTTTATGCTAATAGTAAGTTTTAAGTGAAGAAGAATTCTTTTCTTGGGGGTTTTTGGAAGGAAAAAATACATTGAGCCCTCAGAGAAATCTCAAAATCCAGAATAAAAATACTTTACTGATAGAAGCAGTGTAATACTGATATGGCAGTGAGGTGGGCTACAGTAAATACACTTTAAACCCAAGGTTCCTTTCTTGTCCCTTTATTATTTCTAGTAACAGTATCACTGTAGAAATGAAGAATTCTGTGACACACAGGCAGAAGTCACCTCCACACCTCTGCTTGAAACTGTTTAGACTATGGTTTAAGTGAAATGAATTTGATGGTATTTTTTAAAAATCAGCAAAAGGCTGCATTACAAGACAACAGTGTCATCCCCATACTTCAAGAGAAGCTTTCCTCACCCTTCTCTGGTTAAGGTTCAAGCGTGGCAATGTCAGCTAAACAATTTTCATGTGCAACTTCAGTGTCTAGTTAAAACCATAAATCCTCTTGTACATTATGGCTGATCTGATTGCAGTTTCCACTAATTTTCAAGCATGCACTTCTTCTTTCACTATTTTTTTTTTTTTGTTTTGTTTTGTTTGTTTTTTGTTTTAGGGAAACAAGCATACTTTTTCACAAAGATCAGTCATTCTTTCACGAAGCTAATCAATGTTATGGATGACACATGTTCTGCAACCATAAGTATATAGGGCTATTATTATAATAAGGTTTTCAGTTTCACTATATCTGATATAAATCCCAATCTAGAAACAATTTTCATTTAGTTTAATCAAATATTTTTGATTTAGTGAAATATTTTGCACAGGGGGGCATAGCTGGAAGAAAGGGCATAGTTAATGTTGAAAGCATTCAAATAACAGTAAGAGTAAGCTTGAGTCCAAGGATTTAAACTAAGCCATCAATCAGTCAATGAGTTCCTGCAGCTCTTCAGAGGGGACATAACACAAGTAAAGATTCAGCTCAGTGCAGTTCAAAACATTCAAGCTGCAGTTCTAGGGCTTAAGCACGGCTTTAACATTTGTCCATTTGCATGAAGGTATTGACAACCTTGTTAATTCTAATAATATGGCTATGCGTTGTGCTTTCTGTGAAACACTACTGATGACACTTATTTTGGAGTCCCAGTGAATGTCTTGTCATAGTTATGATTTGTTTCCTCCAAATTTGGGAGCCTATGTGTCTAAGAGAAAATAGATGGAGATGACTTTTCAAGTAGAGTATAGGACGGAGGAGCTGGCTCAGCCAAAAGCAGTTTGATCATGTCTTTGAGCAGAATCATTCAGTGCCATGGTGCCTCCATTCCCTTTATCCTCTAAAAATTTTAAAGCAACAAATGTTTCTTGAGCATGTTGGGTGGTCAAATTTACTGGTATGTTGTTAAAATTGTTCTCCCAGAAGTGCAAGAATTGAGTAATGACTGTAGGGTCACAGTAATAGATAAAAAGATAATGAGTTGTCAAAAGGAGAGGACCTGCAAAAACCTGGTATTGTATCTCCCAATCTAAATTTATCACTTCCCTGATACATAAGAAGGAACATTTGCCTTTCATAGAAACTGGATTTTTATAAACAAATCATAATAATCTTTCAGAATGGAAATTGAACTGATTCCTAGCTTCCTTCTATTTCAAAAGGTTTGGGACTCCTCTACATTTATCAGTTTTAAGCTCATTCCCTGACGTTACACAGTTTTTCTCCTGCAGTAATGGATTGCTGCACGATCCTGCATCTTTCTGAGGGGAAGCCCATTGCTCAGTGTCAGAGCCTCCTCTCCTGGTCGGCTGGAGGGTTAGCATCAGACTCCCAGAGCTGGAAATGTCAGCTTGCTTTTCCAGCCACTGAAACAGAAGGGGATGAGAGATGGGGAACAGGGGAACGTTTGTTATTGTTGGCTGCATTTCATGTGATGCAATGCTGAAAGCTCAGTGCTGCTGCTCAGTATTAGACATTTACCCTTCACAGTCAGAAATGGGTTCCAAAATTCTGCATTGATCTGATTTTGGCATTGAACTGGAGAAAAAAAAAAAGAATTCTACAATATTCTCCCAGGAATAAACTGCATCAGAGATTTTTTTTTTTTATTTTTTTTTTTTTTTTTTTGTTAGTCACAAAAGGGAAGAGATAAATATGTTGATGATGGGGCAGTAATTCTTTAGGAGAAGTATAGCTGCTCCCTTTGACACTTCCTGTTTCATCCATTTTTTTCCCCACAACACAGGGAAAACAACTACCCTAAAACTATCCAAAATATGAACTCAAGATGGAGATTGCTAACCTGGCACTGCTGGGTTCTTAAGAATTCTAATGCTGATTTGCCAGAATGCTGGCATTCCAGCTAGAGATAGTTTGAGGAGCAAAACCAGAACTCCATTTGTGCCAAAAAAGGGAGCAAAATAATAAGCCATAATTTTTTACAGCTGTCCTATAATTTTCCCTTTGTCTATTGTTACTGTCCAGTAACACCAAGACTATGAAAATGCATTAGGGCTAAGTAAATATGTGGCACTTCTCACATTAGCAGTTGAAACTGATACTTTACAATCAGCTCTCCTTGCATGTCCTTTTATTTTAGGTTGTAGGAAGAAACCCACAGTTAACTAAAAATCACAGAGTTTTCAGGGTAATAAATGAATATAGCTCCAGCATATCCTTTTTCTTCTCTAATACATCTGCGTTTATTTTTTATTTAATAATTGTTTTGTCCCTCTGTGCTGGTATGTAAAAATGTTTTGCCCAAGTGATTACTTAATTTTTGAACATATTTGTGCCTCTTTTTGAACATATTTTTAGAGAGAAGCTCTGTTTTGTGTTTATTTAATGAGATCTGGCAGCTTTCAATAGGCCACTGGAAGGGTTTGTTGTTTTCAGTGTCAGGGTATAATAACCAAAGTATGTATTGCAAATGTATTTATTTAAAAAGTCATGGTCTGGAAATGCTTTTA